GCTTAATATTCTCTTAAACTATTTTTCATGTCTATGGGACCTGTACTGATGATGGTCCTTTTTCATTCCTGATACTGGTTTTGTGTTTTTCTCTGTCTCATTAGGGTTTATCAATTTTATTAATCTTTTCAAAGAAATAATTTCTAACTTTGATTACCTCCAACCCCCACTTCAGTACTTTTTAAAAAATTGATATCTGCCCTTCTCTTTGGTTTTCATTAGCTATTCTTTTTCCAGTTTCTGAAGATAGAAGCTTATGTCATTTTTATTTTTTTGTCCATCCTCTTCTAGCGTCACGTATTTAAAGTTATCTAATGTTATGTATTTAAGGTTATAAACTCCTGATACCTGACACCTAGCTTTTCATAATTTCCAGATGTATTTTGTGATGTTACTATTGATTAAAACCTGTAGCTTTGTTATTGAAGTATAGGTTTGCTTTTTTTGAGTTAAATGCATAATAGTAAAAATATTATTCTTGTTTTCTTAGTGTGGAATCAGCCAGTGTTTTCTTGACTTTTTGTTTTGCTTTTTAAATAGGGCACTTTAAGAGTGCTGCTGGTTCTTTTGCATGATTTCCCTGAGTTCCTTTGTGATTACCATTATGGATTCTGTGATGTGATCCCACCTAATTGTATCCAGCTAAGAAATCTGATACTGAGTGCCTTCCCAAGAAACATGAGGCTCCCAGACCCATTTACTCCCAATCTGAAGGTAAAATTTCAGACAGTTCAAGGAAAATAAAGTTATGTCTTAATATTTTAGTCCTTTCTCTGGTAAGTGGGCTATTGAACCCCCCAGCATACACACAGTTATTTGTTGGATAAGAGTGCTTTTGGGGAGAAGCAATTATTTATTAAGCCTGATAGGGTATGATTTTGCTGCTCATTATTGGTTCCCCGTATTTGTCTAGTTGTTATTTTCAATTAATTTTGATACAAAACTTAGCTATATTTATAGAACCTCATCCTCTAGATGTCAAACCAATCATTTGCTGGGTGGGCCCCTGTGGCACAGAATTGGAGAACAAAGACCTTTGTAATGCCCGTATTTCACAGGTGTTTTGTATGTATGTCCTTGTGTTTTGTTTAAATTGATGTCAAGGAGAAAAGGGACCATTTACATACCTGACATGGGTACTGTAATTTTTACATATTTTCTACTTCTTTCACATGAATATTTTTTAAAGTAACAAATATAATGTCTTATTCTGCTGGGGTGTCTTCTCCAAGACTGGGGCTTTTGGTGAGTGAGGAATCTCATTCTGTACCCTTACTTTGAAATTCAAGTCCAGGAACAAAATGACTAGTGGTCAAATTAGATCTCTCTACAAAAGGTACCTAACCTGCCTTATTTTAGATTGATAATATACTGTAGAATGAGAGATTCCTATCATTTTGTATACCAATTCTTCTCATTAAAGATTAAAAGTAGCAGCTCACTCAGCATTTAGAATATGTATAGTTTTAGGAAAAATTCTAGCACTTACTAGCAGAGATATAATATGCAGTTAACACCTCTGAATGCTTCCGGTTGTGATTCTTATATTTGTCTGTGTGGCAGGTGGATATGTTGAGTGAAATTAATATTGCGCCCCGGATTCTCACCAATTTTACTGGAGTGATGCCACCTCAGTTCAAAAAGGATTTGGATTCCTATCTTAAAACTCGATCACCGGTCACTTTTCTATCTGATCTGCGCAGCAACTTACAGGTTAATTGGTTTGGCTCTCAGCTCTTTCAGAGAAAGCATTTTCCATGCACAGTCTTATATCTTATATGTGGCCTGTTTGGGAGTTAGTCTTTTCAACCTGATTAAAAGATTTTAAAACATACTGTCATTTCTGATGATTGGATGAGATTAACTGGATTGTACATTTTATTAATTCATCTTACTAGTGACACACAAAGCTCAATAACCTTGGAAGGGGAGACCAGGGAATGTACTGATTTCCTGTAAGAATAGCCTGTTGTTGGTAATCATTCCTCCAAGATTTTAACTATTTAACTATTTCCTAAAGAAATAGTTTAATTTGCAGTGTAGAAAATGACTTAAAGTTATTCTTTCCAGTCTTTCCTCACCGAGGGACCACAACTTTACCCCTCTCCATCTTTTTTATAATTGAGACAGTACATACTTTGACTTTATAAACTTTAATTTTGTGCTGGTACCTGTTAAAGTTTTGGTTCTCAAATGTTTGTTGACACAACCACAACCTTTGGGCAACTGTGTATTTGTTAAATAACTTCAAAGTCAAAAAATTTTCTAAAATTTAAATCACAAAGGATGTTGAGAGCAGTTCATCCTTTTCTACAAAGACACAAAAAGGGTTTAGAGATAAATGCCCAAATCAGTTCTCTGAGGATAAGTCAGGAGCTTCAGGAGCTTTCTATTTTGTTCATTTAGGTGTCCAATGAGCCTGGCAATCGCTACAACCTCCAGCTCATCAATGCACTGGTGCTCTATGTAGGGACTCAGGCCATTGCACACATCCACAACAAGGGCAGCACACCTTCAATGAGCACGATCACCCACTCGGCTCACATGGACATATTCCAGAACCTGGCTGTGGACTTGGACACTGAAGGTGAGTAAAGTTAACTCAGTTCTCAGTGTTAAATTCTCTGTAATTTCTGCCACAGTCTGGTCATAAAAATACATTAAGCCACAATCGACAAAGGTCTGTCGACGTGTTTATGGGTCTGGCTGGTTATTTTATTTTTAACTAGATAGTATCTGGTCAATGCAGAAAAGTATAAAAGAATGTTCCAGAATTCTTACTGTATCAGTTAATATTTTCAGTGTAGATGACTGCAGTGGTTTACTTTTTTGGTCTGAAAATAAACATATTCCTTTTAATAGCCTATCTTTAAAAATAGGCTTAAGCTACATTGCTTTGTTAGCCTGCCTTTCCTCCAGCACTTGTAGGTAGGTGCCTATTTATCAGGCATCATGTTTATATTAGGTGTGTAAACTTTAATGAATAAGACTTTCCTTACTTGCTCTACAAAAAGTTCACATAATTCCTATTATAGGTTGCATCTTGTCTGGTTGAACTATATTTCTTTTAGTGTTCTATATTCTTATGTAATAGAGACCCCAGTAGGTGCTAACCAGTTATACAGTCCTGCCCACTTTAGCGCACACACATACTTTAGAAGGATGTTTACTTTTAACTCTGTGATGGACTCGAGAGGCAAGTTAATCTTGAGTATGTATATACTGTTTGCCTATTTGTAGAAGGGATTTGGATTTGAGACAGCTTGAAATCAAGATTTAACAAAATGGAATACCCTGATGTCCAAAGTGCAGCAAAAAAGGAGGGCAGCCTTGAGGGCCACGTTAAAGCTCTGTGAGAACGTTACAGACACGAGTAGCATCGTGCAGAGGCAGACAGCCAAACCCAGTTAGGATGATGGATATTTATTCCAGTATAGTTTAGCTCTCATAGTGTGGTCTGAGAACCCTGGGGAAAGAGGTCAAAACAATACCTTTGCCTTTTTTGCACTCATGAACAGTTTGAACACAGGGCAGAAATAAATCACTAATTTTTGGGGGGAAGTATTTTTATTAACAATATGCAGTTATTAATAGGCAGTAGGTCCATTTTTAATATATATTTTTAAAGTTTAAAAGTGGAAAATGCTAAAACCCACAGAAATGAAAATTCTTGAGGACCTAAGAAACACAGGATAATTTGAAAGCCCGTATCATAAATCCAAACCCTAGCCAGTGAGGAATGATTTCTCTTCTCAAATTGGCCTTAACGGAGCAGGTCCTCACTAAGCTGAACTTTCTTGATTTCTAGGCCGGTATCTCTTTTTGAATGCAATTGCAAATCAGCTGCGGTACCCAAATAGCCACACTCACTACTTCAGCTGCACCATGCTGTATCTCTTTGCAGAGGCCAACACTGAAGCTATCCAAGAACAGATCACAAGGTAAGAGAGGGTTTGCTTTTCAGATGCTTCTGAGTGGTACCTCTTATGAATTTGGTTTTACTGTGCATTTCAGTGTTCATTGAGCATCTTTTATGTGTTACAAATGTAGGATGTGGGGGACATGGTTCCTGCCCTCTTATATTAAGTCTGATGGTCACAAAAATATCACTGGTAGAGAATTACAAATCATAATCGTTGCTGAAATAAAGTATTCATTGGAAGGCACCAGCATTTTGATTGAAGGTTGGGAATTTCTCCCAGGTGGTGGCGGCAGCACTTTTAACCAGTGTGAATCATACAGGCTTATTAAAGCCCATGTTAAAGAGCTTGGACATGGTTTTCTTCATTACCTCTATGTTGAAACGTTTTAAGCAGAACAAGGTCATACTTGTGTTTTCCTAATGATAGTTAGGAATCTGCTGCAGATTGCTTGGACTGTACACAGCATTAGAGATTAGGAAATGGGTAGATTCTAGTGAGAGAATACTTTAAAAACTAGACATAGTTTGCGGGAATTAGATAACGGTGTTTCTATTGGATGTTTAGATGATAATGTCTTATCTTGTGATTATATAGTAAACTTCCTTGTACTTAAAATCTTTTATTCTTTAGGGTAAATTTAGAGGTACAGTTGGCTAGGTCATCACTAACTGCCATTCAAAAAAATTACCACCAATTTATACATGTACTAGTAGCACTAGAATATGTTGTACCATGTAATCTTATGTTGTCTTTATTTTACCTTACTTAGTTTTCTGGGCTTAGTAATAGGAAGAGGGGGATTCAAACCCACGTTTTCTAATTCTAGAATCCACTTGCATTAAACATGCTATATGGAATATAGAGATTAATCTGTTTTTAGTAAAGGGTAAATGGTCACGGATGTGTTTCTCTGTAAATTCACTAACTTCTCTCCTTCCCCAGGGTTCTCTTGGAACGGTTGATTGTAAATAGGCCACATCCTTGGGGTCTTCTTATTACCTTCATTGAGCTGATTAAAAATCCAGCATTTAAGTTCTGGAACCACGAGTTTGTACACTGTGCCCCAGAAATTGAAAAGTAAGTTAAAATTTTTTAATTGTAGGAGAATGAGAATAATTTGAAGGGTCCAGCCAGGGTGGGTGATTAGAAGGTAGTAGTTGCCAAAGCTAATGAGACAGAAGCTATTGTCAGGCCTGAACTTTTCTGTAACTGTCTCCCTTCTTCTTCAGGTTATTCCAGTCGGTTGCACAGTGCTGCATGGGACAGAAGCAGGCTCAACAAGTAATGGAAGGGACCGGTGCCAGTTAGATGGAACTTCATCTCTGTTGCCTGGCTGTCCCAAGTTCATAAACTGGCTGAAGAATCATTTCAGCTCTTCCTGACGTTCTCAGCCCTTTGGTTCTCGGGTATCTGCCCCAATTACTCTTTGGGTCAGCTTCCTGTCTATGTGGGCAAGTTCCAAAGTTTAAATGCATTTTTTGACTCTTGGCCAAAATTTAGAAGATGCTGTGAATATCATTTTGAACTTGTGTAAATATATGACAGAGAAAACCTTTGTCTGGAACTTCTTGGGTTTGTGCAAAATGTGTCCAAGGCAAGTAGATAAACTGGTACCTGCTCAGCTTGTAACTGAAGAAGCTGCTGATGCCATGTGCTTGTCTGGGGACATAGCTCCATATCTTCTGACATTCCTGATGTCCCAAAGAATAGCAAAAAAGCCAGTTTAAATATTATGTAACTTATTTTTTTAATGAGGACAGGGGACCTTGAAAATCAAAGTTTTTAAAAATGTGGTTATGCTAGAATTTGGTATGTCAGGGAACCTGGTAGAGCTCACAATTGCAATCCCATGAGTTTTTGTTTTGCATCCTCCCCCGATCTATAGTTGACTGCTTGAGACCATACCACTTGGGCCCTGTGAGACACAGCTCTTTTTAAAATAAAGGGAAACCAGGCCAGGCCTAAAGCTCCCCATCTCTCCTGATAACTTGTAAAACTGTGAGGAAAGGGAACCAAATAGTATGAATTGCTCTCCATTATCCCAGGCTCAGTTGAACAAAAGTCAAAAGGACCAATACAGCCCCTTTTGTAAGGATTTTGAATGTTTTGTAAATGTATTGGTCCATGTGTTGTATTTTGTAGCCTTTCTAGTTCCTGGGCTTTTAGCTCCCCTACTTCTTTTCTTCTATGTATGTGCATACTGCAGTCAAACATTAAAAGTCATGCCACACATGTGAGTCCACTGTGCCTTTCTCAGTAGCAGCAGCCAGTGCTGGTGGTGAGGAGGGACGTGGACAACCCACCCTTGCAAAGCCTGGGGCCTTTGGGGAACACCGGCTTCTTGCTAATGGTAGATCTTCCCCACTACTAACTAGTCTGGCATGTTTAAACAAGCGATAAAGTGATTTATTTCTTCCTGTTCCTTGTCACTAGTGGAAAATTGTGAGAGTGGGTTTCTATAGTTAAATAATTATAAAATGCCCATTTTTAAATATCCTGTTCCCTCATTTTGATATAATTTTTAAAAGAAGTATATATTTAATACTTAGCCTTCCCTTTAATGGCTATCAGGTTTTATGGCCCGAAGACAAAAAGGTTCAAGATTAAATAAATAGTAGAAATCTTAAGCAGGGCTTGAATATGGTATCTTAGGGTTTCTTCTTCCCTGAGGGTGAGTTGTGCCATCTACAGCAAACTTCCGACTGCTGAGGAATTAAAACTTACATATAAACCCTCTAACACTTTTGAAACAGTCTTTTTTTAAAAAGGTAATTTGCTCAGAGACCCAGATTTTAAGCAGGTCTACTTTCAAAGTCCATGTTATTAAACATCAAATACAAGACCTATTCCTGTCATAACTGCAGTTCTCACTTTGGTTCAAACAGAACAAAACAGCTGTAAAATGTATTGGTTGGTCTTGGTGACAGACAGCAGTGGTTCCCAATCCCTAAACATACCACCCTTACCTCAGTTAATCCTAGCATACCACCTTTGGTTCTTTTTTTTTCCTTTTGGCATTTAATAATCAAAAGATCCTAATTTTCTTCCTTTTCAAGCATCAATGAATAACTTAGAATAAGTTCTCCTGGATGTTCTTCAGGCAGCAGGGAACCTGCTACCCTGTCAGTTCCAACAGCTGGTGTAAGATCATCTTCTGACCATACCGAACCTGTAAAGCCTGCTGTTCCCTCCAGCTGAGTTTGGCATAGACCTCCTTGTTACTGAGTAAATCTTGCTCGGTTTTTAAATCTGTAGCATAGGTTTGCAGGGTCAGCAAAACACTGTCCCGAAGAAGCTGTCTCCATGATTTTTTGAGCTTGGGGATATTCGTGATTGTCAGGCTATCTTCTTCCTTTTTATCATCTCCCCATCCATCCTGGTCTTTAAACTCTCTGAACTCTTCAGCTGGCATGCAGAGTACCTAGAAGCAACCATGAGGCCCTATTAATAGGATATACTATTGTGTATTTCTGAAACTGATTTAGGGAAGCCAACTTGGCAGCATTTAAGTGTCCTCTCCCTCCACCCCACATTTCCTCTCCCTCCACCCCACCTTTCCTCTCATAGCTTTATCTAGTTCTAAATACTTAAGCTATTTTCAGCATTAAATGGCCATTCTCAGCCCTTTACCTTGAGTGTGGTGGTCAGTTCCTCTTCAGTCAGCACTTCCTCCCGCCCAATCACAAAGGCTCCCTCTTCCCCTACCATCTCCAGTTTGCATAAGTAATTCCAGCGTTCATACAGCAGGACCCTTTCAGCTTCAACTTCTGTTCCTATAAAAAGTAATAGTGTGAAAAAACTGAGTGTACCCTAATTTCTCCTTAGTCTAGCACCTAGTCTACAAAAAAGAGGCAAGTGCTGCTATTTAGCACAGCAGCTGGGCAGGGATACAGGTACATCCGCCAGCATCCAAGACAATCTGACACTCACCCTGTAATGCTGCTTCACGAACTGTCACCATCTGAATGTCAGCTGTGTCATCTGTATTGTTGGGATATGGTTCAACAAAACCATACATATGAATCAGCTGCCAGTTAGCCATTTGCCCGTAAGTGTTGAAAATCTCATGGCCTTTAGGAATGGGCTGAGTAGCCACCATCCGAAGATAATTCTGGAGAGGAAGGGAGAAGCTGGGACCTGGCCCTTCCCAAGCCAGCCCCATGAAGGTTACTTCCCTCTTAGGAAGAGCCTCCAGCAGGTATAGCTCAGCAGTGGGGCTGATGCTGTGCTATTCCACCAAAAGTCTACTTTTAGTTCCTCTTAAAATCCTGTACTGTAGAATGAAAGGGATGAGGACTACAAAAGTCAAAGGTCAGCCTCAATGTTTTATTAGGTGAATCTCTGCAACAACGAACAATTAAACCTAGATTGAAGTAGGAAAGGTAAATGGGGGTAAGGATGAAAAAATAACAGCCATTTCCTAATTTTTAATTTCATAAACCTGAATCGTGGAACTTTCCACATAGAGAATTGATATAAACACAATCATGGCTCCCTAGCACCTTGCAGAGCAGCTAATCTCTACCACCAAGTAAATGATGGGAATAAAGTTCACCAGAGGGTTAACACAACTCTCTTTGAGGGCTTTGAGATGTTTGTGTTCAAACTATTTCACAGGAATATGCAAATGCACACAATACAGGAAACATTAGCATGAGACTAGAGCCCACTTAGCCCAATTGCAAGGCTGGAATAAATGACAGGCACCGGTCTGAATCAAATACACAGTCATGGATGCACATAAGGACAAGAACTGAGAAGGATCCACTCACTGGAGAATATTCCAGATTGGCATTGTGACTGGCTAAGTGGTTTAGTATGTCTGCAGCAGGCACCATCAAAGGGGAGTTTGGCTCCTTTTCATCATCCTCTTCCTCCAGTGGTTCCTGAAAGCTGCCATAGAGAGCTTGGCTAATGCCCATTGTAGTGTGAGATACTGGAGGTGGGTGGGGTTCGCTGTTCTTTCCCCTCGTCCCTCAATACAGTTCTAAAGAAAAGGGCCCTTTCAGCGTCTGCTCACTGACCTGTAGGCCATCACAAGAGCCACGAGCTGGTGGTAGAGTTCCAGGGAGCGAACTCGGGGGCTGAAAAGATCGGGGTGGGCTTCCATGAAGGGCAGCACGATGGAATAGTACTCGCTGCGGATGTTGGCCAGATCCTTCTCCACGGCCTCAGGTACCCCTGTGCCCTGCAGCAACCGCCGGCGCTCCTCCTCGGGCCTGCAGGAGACCCCCACCCAGATTTCCTTCGCATGCTCTACCGGGGCTAGTGCGTGCCAGGGCGGTCGAGCCAGACTACTATGCCGGCGCTCCCCAGCCCCTCCTACGGCTCTCACCAGAACATGGGGTGCTCCAAACTGCCCAGCTCTGGCCAGAGCGCAAAGTAGGGGGTCCAGGGCGAGGCCGGGGCCTGCAGCTCGTGCAGCAGCGCCAGCAGCAACGGCACCCAACCCGACTGACTCTGCAGCGCGCCTCGTTCTGAGGGAGACAGGAGAGACTGCTAGCGCGGCCCGCGGGGCCGCCGCAGTGTCCCACCCCCGCTGGCATGCCCACCTCGCTCCAGTAGGCCACTGATTGAGCAGGTGTGTTGTGACAGCAGCACGGCCCGCGGCACAGCGAACAGCAACTCCCCGGGCTGCACGCTCTCCCGGGCCACCATGCCGTAGCCGGCGACCGTGCCCTGCCGGCTCACCGCCACCTGAGCGGGAGGAGCGGTCGATCAGACCTGGTCCGCGCTGCGCCCCTCTGCCCCACCGTCCGCCGCACCTCCAACCCCACTCTCACTCACCTTGGGACTCAGCTCCAGCCCCACGCGCCGGCACCAGCTCAAGAAGCCGGCCACCGGATCCAGGTCCGGGTCGCGGGCGCCCACAGGCCCTGCCACCTGACACAACCGAGAGCAGTAGAGGCCCCGCCCCGGAAAGCTCTCTGGGGGCGGGGCGATGGCGGCGCGCGCGGAGGAAGGGCTTTGGGTGGGGGAGGGGGGCCCGAGATCCTCAAGTGACCCGAGGGAGGGAGTGGAGGGGGCCCCTTCGCGAAACCGACTGCGGGCGGGGCAGCGCGAGGCTTGGGGGAGAGGGGTGAGCCCGGCACTAGCCACCGGCGACTTACCCGCCCGCGCTTCGCCTGCGTCGCCATGGTCCGAGGGGGTGCGGCTCCCAAAGTCTGCAGAGCCGCACGGGCGCTTCCGGCGTCCCTGGCCACACCTCCGGGAGGGACGCTCGGGGGCGGGACCTATACTCCGACCCGTCACGCGGACCACGTGAGGCTCGTGTCAGAGTCCACGTGGACAACAAGTGGGGATTTGCACTTGGTCAAATCATTCCTCCCGAGAGCATCCTTTTGAGTCCGCGTGTCCCCCATTGGGTTTAGAAAACGTGCAGTCGGGTGCAGGAAGACGTGGACCCTAGTTCGAGCCTAGTTCTGAGCCAGGCATAACCCTCCCCTTTGGTCTCAGGTAGCTGAGACTCGGCGTAGAAGTCCAGATGAAGGACAAAATCCGGTTTCTGGATGCGAAGCTGAGGGCCTCGCAGCTGCCGGCTTTGAGCGCACCCAGGTGGCGCCGGCCTGCCTTCTTGATCTTGAGCCCTCATGAGCTATGGCCATCTAACCGTTATTTGCTCAATTAGAGCAGTTTGCGCGCGCAACTCTGCGTATGCATGTGTGCGTGTGTGTCAAGAGTGGCATTGGAAGGGCTCCCAGAAGTAGAACAGAGCCCTTTGCCCAGGCTGTTTTCATCTTCTGCATAGGACACGGTGGGTTTTATTTTTATTTACTTGCTTTATTAGCTGACACAGCAAGAGCTCAATATCGATTTATTGGTTAAATGGCTGACTTATTTCCCATGTTTAACCGTTAAATTTAAGAAAAGGAGGCAGCAAATGTATAGGTTAGAGGCATGTGTTTTAAAGTCGGTGCCAAAACTAGTTCCCATCTTGACTTACGAGGGCAAAGCCCTTAGCCTGAGCTTTCAGTTTCCTGAGCTGTGAAACTAAGATAATATCTATCCTGTAGAATTAATGTAAGGATTGGTAGGACAAGAAGTGGAAACAGAGATGGCTGGAAATGTCTGTCCTCGGCCTGCATGCTCAACCCCACCTCAACCCAAGAAGCACTAGTCTCACCAGCCTAAACATTCTGTCTCTTCAAAAGCTTCCATAATGGGCATGACATCACTTGAATTCTTCTTAGTTTCTTTATTATTCAGCACAGTTAACTCTTTCTACGTTGACAAGGGTTTTTGTTTTACATTTTGTCACTTCCAAGTCTCATGACATTAGCCACTAGAATACACAAAATTAGTCTCTTCACTCTGTACAGACAGGAAAATAATAAACTCCATTAAAAGTAATCACTTTGGCCAGAGATAACCTCCAATGTAAAACCACACGCAGGACCCAATATACATATATATAATGTATAGATATTTATAGATATCTCATCTGAAAGAACACAGCAAAAAAAAAAAAAAAATCCAAGACTTGCAGCACTATCTACAGTAAGAGGGATTAATTCTACCAGCTTTTCAGTCACATTTGATATTCAAAGGAAGCACGTGAGTGAATAGAACTGGGGACAGACTAACACTCCACCAGGCTCTAGAGCAGTCTAGTAATGGCTTAAGATTATAGAAGGGGTGATATGTGCAGAGGAAATGTGGATGCAGGTGTCCTCTCAGCTTCAGAGCCTCCACCCCGCCACCCCAGCCCTATATTTCTCATAGCTCTCTCCCCTCTCCCTTTACTCATTTTGGGGTTTGTGGCAATTGATTTAGGCTCCGAGACAAATGGCTTCTGGTTTCTGGGCCAGGAGAGTCTACCTGATAAGGTGGTGGAAGAGAAGTATATGGCACAGTCCTGGGCACTCAATTCTCACTGGCTATCCCAGTCTTTAACCTCAGCCCCCAAGTCAGGTCCTATGGAGATGGAGGACCAAGAGATTTTCTGCCTCAGGGCCTTGGCTCAGAAATGGGACAGGCCAAGGTGGTGGAGTGTGGGGGCTGGAAGAGACAGTCTGTGGGGTTTCTGCCCTCGGAGTCCTCTGTGTTGACAGAGAAACCCCCTCCAGCCCCTGTCTGCCTGTCCCTACAGCACAAGGCCTGCCAGAGAGCACCAACTAACAGCTGCCTGTGAGAGCGCGTCTTTGTGGATACTGTTCAGATGATTGTCACATGTGCCACAGACAAACAGATGTGCTCAGTAGAGGGGCTGGTGTAGGGGGAAGGGGCCTGCAGAGCTCCGGGGGTCCTCACCTTCAAATGCTCCCTGCTGCTGACTCCCGATTCTCATGTCAATGCCTGAGCTGGACCCCATGTTCCTGCTGTCCCAGCAGCCACCACCTCAAAACCCTATGCCATCTTCAAATGTGCTTGTCCTAGCGGGTCATCCCATGCTCTTTGTTTAATCCAGAATATTATCCTGGATCCTGGCCTGAGAAAGACTCAGTCTTGCCTTAGCTGATCCCCTTCCACCCTGGACCCCGCCCTGACTGTGCCTGGGTAGCGGGGAGTTGGAAGAGAGGGGTCGAAGTTAGCCAGGTTCACAAGGTGAGTGAGGTGGGGGTGGAGAAGATTGAGCCCCTCAAACCATCTGGAGGCTGTGCTGCTGCAGATCTAAGATGGACCCCCTCATCTTTTTAAACAAAAGAGAAGTAACCCCATATCCTCCCCTTCACCGTCACAAAAATAAGAGGGAAAGGGAGCCAGTGCGAGGATGGCAGTGGGACATCAATGCGGGTGGGGGCACGTGGGTGTCTTCAGGGGACCAAGGGCTTCAACAGGACACCTCCATGGTGTGGTTGACCTGGCCCAGCCCCTCGCTGCTCTCCGAGTGGGTGCAGGCCTGCGGGCGGCTGCCGTCCACCGAGCTGGCACTGGTGAGTGATGCGGTGCGAGAGCGGGCGAGACGGGTCATGCTGGCCGAGGGCACTGTGGACAGAGATGGGACCAGGCATGAGATCCAGCAGGCAGGGCTGTGTGCCAGCAGGCAGGAGGATTCACGCAAAGCAAAGCAGCCAGCGAGACCCATCCCAAGCCAGGGCTCTGGCGTCTGCTCTGTCAAGTCCAAGGCATGCAACACCAGTGACAATGAACGGGCCAAAAGGGCGGGGGCCACAGAGGCCAGCAGGACCCTCTCACAGCAGCTGGCCAGAGCTACGGCCAAAACGGGGTGGGAGTTGACCAGGCATCCTTGAGCTGGTATACGGATGGGACATTATTTTCAACTATGTCTCCTTCGAGAGGATGGTGGACCGGGAGAGTAGGACTACTTCTGTAAAGGAAGACAAGATGCGGTGAACTCAAACTCCCCTAAGTGCCTTTCTTGCCCTTATTCATAGTTTCACAAGTGAGACTCAGCCCTCCTGAACTCAACCGCCACCTGTCTGGCTTGGGCATGGCCAGGCACCCCTGCCTCCAGGGCCAGGTCTGGGCTCAAACTCTAGTTCCACCTGCCAGAGCTCCGGAAGCCACACAGTCCATGGCAACCGAGAAGCAAGACTCTTTGAAACCCAGCCAATTGAGAGCCTTAAAGTGGGACGGAGCCACGTGGCCCAGGACCTGAGGAAGGGGACTCTTTGGGGCTTTGGAATCGAGGACATGAGAAGGTTCCAAACCACAGCAAGATGCGTCCTGGCTCAGCACTGCACAGAGGAAGGAGCAGGGGGAGGCCGGGGGGCGGGGGGGTCCATGCATCAGGGGAGGGGCCATGGGGCTACCTGCTCCTCCACTCAGCCTTCGGTCCTTCAAGTACGGAACTAAGAGAGAAGACAGAGCCGGAGAGGGGCGGGCGGGGTGGGGAAGACGGAACACGGTGAGGAGCGCGGTCCAGCGAGGCGAGGGTGTTGAGATGGACCAGATGAGATGAAAGGACAGGCACTGAGGGCTGGGGTGGGGGGGCCAGAGCCTCAGGAAGCCCACTCCTGCCCACCTACGAGCAGCAGCCACTGATTGGTCTCAGCCTGGCCCTAAGAGCTCCGACAGTGGGGTGGGGTCACACATCTCGCCCCAGCCTCTCCAGCCTGGGCTATGGCACCGAGGGGCTCATGTCTACAAGGCTTTGGGGCCCATATCCCAGTCCCAGTGTACTTGCTGTTCTGCTGGGCCTCGGTCTCCCCATGTACAGAATGGGGGAGGCCTGTACGACCTCCCAAATCCCTCCCAGCTCTTGGGTTGCCTGGTAGTATTTCTCTCGGGCCTCTGAGAACTCATCTAGCCCCTGACAAGCACTGCTCATCCGCCCATCCCACACATGCTCACTGGGCGCCTCCCAAGCTCAGGCCCAGCCTCAGAGCTCCTGCTGCATCTCGCTGTCAGCCTTGGCCTCTCATTGCCCTACTTCTGCACAGAGAAGCTGGCAGGCCCCTGGGGGCCAGGGGGACTCTATTCCTGGATGTGCCCTGCTGCCTTCTCCCACAGGCCTGTCCTCCCAACGAGGCACGAGCTCCAGAGGCTGACGTGTGAGGGGAACAAAAACAAATTCAGGGAGAGGAAGTGTGCTTTCAGTAGGAGCCAGGTGTGGGGAGAGGGGTCGAGGAGATGCACGTGCATATGTGTTGGGGGGCTCACAAGCACAGTCTGGGAGCCTCATCTCCGCACAAGGGAAAGTTCAGAGACTGGAATGGGGGCAGGGAGCCAGGGCTACCCAAAGCCTTATTATCCCAGGATCTTCAGAATGCCCAGCCCAGCCACCTTCAGCTCTCCTAACAACCAGATGGCCCCATGTACCTTCCCCAGTCCCCAGACTCCAAGCCAACTCTTCTGATGCACCATCTACCATGGTGAAAAAAGCCCTTTTCAGGTGCTCCAGGATCAACAGGGAGTCGGGGGTGTGTATGAATCTCCTTCAGGCAGGCTTCCCTGGCCCGGGCAGCACCTAGCCTGGGCCCTGGTTCCCCAGGGCTGGGAGAAGAGAGAGCCCTCCACTCCTACAGGCCCAGCCGTGTCATAGAACGGTGCCCCGAAGGCTCCCAGGGCCAGGAGAGCTGGGTGTGGCCTGGGAGAATTGCCTTACAACTTAGGTGGAGGTGTCCTGGCAGCAGCAGGCAGCATGTGGTGAGAACTGCCCAGCATCCAGGTCCCCAGTAACACAGACCTTAACTGCCCACAGGCTTCTCAGCACCGCCTGACGGGTGCGTCAGCCCAGCGTTGCCGCCCGCCACCAGTTTCTGGGGTGGGGTGTACTTACTGTAGCCCATGCCTTGCAGGAAGTATTTGAAGGCTTCGGTCAGCTTCCCCGGCTGCAGGAAGGAGGGACAGGCACAGACTTTGATTGGCTGCCTAGGATTGCGGGGATGAGGGAGGTTCCCTGACCCCAGGCTGGATAAGGGAGGGAGGGCGAGCCAAGAGTCTCACCTGTGTGACCTGGGGGAGACCCCCGGAATCTGCCATCTGTAGGAGAGAGAGAAGTGAGCAGAGCAGAGCACACCCAACACCGTGCCTGGCCCTCACACACCTCCACAGGCTCTGTGACCAGACATACTGTCCTGCTCCCCCCCTGGCTGGGCCCACAGGTGGGGGCGCCCAGCCAAGGCTGGGGAGCAGGCCTCACCTTCAGGAAGGTCGTGGTGGTGGGGTCCAGTTTGGAGTTGCACTCAACCTGGGGACAAGGAGCCAGCTTCAGCAGAGCAAGGCAGCCCCAGCCCCTGTGGGTCTCGGGAAGCCCCTGCCCCAGCTGTTAAGCAGGTTCTATCCACAGCTCCGGGAGGCTCTGCTGCTGAGGAACGAGAGCAGGCGGCAGACACGGGCCAGCACCCGGGCCCCGGCTGAGGGCTGAGGCTCCCCAGGCCACCTTCTGAAAGGACAGGCCTACCGAGGGGCCTGAGGCCCTTGAACTACACTTGCAACTGCTTGTGGGGCCCGGCGACGTCCTCATGAGGAGCCAAGGCCACCTTGGCAGGAGTGGCTGGAAACACGCCAGGACCCAGGTGAAGAGGTGATGGGGAAGTCGGGGTCAGCAGCCGACTCTGGGGCCTCTGCCTGGGTCAAGACGGCTGGCACAGCCCACAACCCTGCGCCTCTGACACCTCAGGCACAGGGAGAGTGTGGTAGCTTCCTGCACGCTGGGAGCTGCCCAGGGCACTGCCGGACCCCCGACCTGTGCCGAGGGGGACATGAAAGCCCCGCCCAGGCTGCCTGCTCCCAGAGTTCCAACATGAGAGGTAACACACAAACCCCGAATGTAACGGGTACAAGTGATGGGCAAAGGGGGACCACCACTGTGCTCAGAAATTACTTATTTCATAATCAAATTTTAGAGAAAAGAGAGACCTTAGTCTCTGGGGACTGATGTGGGGCTGTACTGCTGGGGGCTGGAGGAGGAAGGGCCACCAGAGGCCTGGCCCCAGCCCCAGGCCCCGCTGGTCTCCAGCCTCCCTCACTGAAGGGCTGGGGGTTGTGCCAGGCGGTGATGGACTGTGAGGAAGCTGGGTGAGGAGCCCACCGTCCAGTGCCTGCTCCTGTGGTTCCCCTGGGCAGAGTCAAGAATTGGCCCTGCTGGCCAAAGGCCAATGACCCCCTTACTCCTGCCCGCACCCCCAGTCAGGGCGAACTCCTTCACTCACCACGCCATCCTCAGCAGGCGCATTATCCCCTACAACGAGCATCACGGGGCAGCTGCAAACACAGAGGAAGCGTTGTCTGGCATGGACTGGGGGGGAGGGGCACACAAAAAGGGGCGGCTGGAGGGTAAGGGGACACTCACCGGAGGGTCTTGGCGTTGGGCACCGTTCCGGGCCGGTTAATGTCCAGGTCTCTGCGGCTACAGGGAGAGGCAGAGGTGGCATTCCAAGACTGGGTAGGGGAGGCGGCCCCCAAGCCCGACACTGTGGTTATTTCAGCCACCCTCCAACCCATCTCCCCACAATGTCAGTTAGGGTCCAATATCCCTGGAGGCCCCGCGCCGGCCCCAGAGTTGGGGCTCAAGCTCATCCAGTTGTCTCAGCAGTGGAACAAGGCCTTACAGACCCCAACCGGTAAAACAGAGACAGGGACCTGTTCAGCTTTAGGGCTCCCCTCACGTGTGACTTCTTCCCAGACCCCCCAGACTCATGCCAAGTGGGCCCTCAAATTTGGCTCTCCCTACACCCCCCTCAAAGCACTCCCTGGATGACTCCACCACCTGTGCCGTGAGAGTCCTCGCCTATCACTCTCCACTGTTTCTCGGGGCCTCTGCACACAGCTGGTGCTTGGTAAATATTTGTGGAAAAGAAGGGAGGGCAGGCAAGTAGGGGGCTCGGCCACCTCCCTGCGGCGCAACCTTCACAGGGCCTCCAAGGAGCATAGCTTGAAAACCACTGACTTCATCCAATCTCCTCCCCTTTTACGGACGTCAGCACTTAGGCTCAGGGTTGTTGGGGGTCAGGGATGTTGCCCACATCCCTCACTGCTGTCGGTGGCAATGCCCCAGGGAGGAGAAGGAATGGATGAGCCCAGAGACCAGAGTCTGAAGCCCTGCTCCCCCTCTGCCCTTCCTGGGGTGTGTGACCCTTCCTGGAGGTTTAACAATCTGCACATCTACAAATGGGAGAGTGTGTCGCCTGCCCACCGGCCTCCTCTCACGGGCGGGCGTAGTGAGGAGTCCCCAGGAGGACGAGCTGTGCCCCGGTGCTGCAGAGCGGAGCCCGTGCCACCCGCACCTGTTGTACATGTTCCAGAAGAGCTGCAGGTTGGCCTGGTTCACCACGTTCCCGATCTGCTGCCGGTAGCTCTGCACCAGCTCCGTGTTGTTCACCAGCTCCTCCTGTGCTCAGGGGGTCAGACGGGACGAGCAGGGCGTATGCAGGGGAGTAGACAGATGGGGACATGGGCTCAGAGGGGCTCATGCAGGTGTCACTGCCAGAGCCACCTTTGTGGCAGGGTGGAGGGTGGGAGCCACCCTCTGGAATGTGGGGGTGGACCTCAGGAGGGGAGGGGAGGCTCCACGGAGTTCTGGGAGGAGGCCTCCCCCATGTGTCCCTCAGATGCCCCAGGATAGTGGCCGATAACAGAGGACAGAGTGAGACAGTCAGATGCCACATAACCCCCACCTCCTCCTCCTGCCCGGCTGGGAAGGGCAGAGCCCTCAGTGGCCCTGAGACAGGGCAGAACCAGGCCCTTCAGCAGCTGCCAAGGCTCTCAAGACCCTCAGCCCAGCCTGCCCTGCTCCTGTGAGGATGGCCCCACCCCCTTACCTGGCTGAAGAGGTGGGATAGCACCGTGTCAGGTAAAGTGCTGGTCAGGCCAGAGAGCTGTGGGCCGAGTTGGAGGCCAGTGTGAGTGCCACCCCTCACCACCCCCGCCCCCGGCCAGGGGGACCACGCTCACCTTGGTGGCCGCCCAGTCGATCCAGCCTTTGCCGTTGGGGTCAATATTCATCAGCACCAACCCCTCCACCAGGTCGGGGAAGATGAGCTGCCCAGAAAGGAGAACGGGGCTTGGGGATGGTGTGGGCTGCGGGGAGCCCCAAACTTCCTACCTAGAAAACAGGCTGTAAAATTCTGGCTCTGCCTGTCTCACAGGTGGCTGGGAGGGTCTGAGGGGAAGGACACGCTTCAGAATGCCACTGATGGTGACCCAACAGCAGCTGAGAGTGACAGCCGGGAACCTGCATGCTGTCCCCTCGCCCACCTCCCCACCTGGGACCTTTCTAAATTCTTCGATTCATTTAGAATCTGTGCCTACATCACTGTTTTTCACCCCCTTTCAAATATCTTTGGAGATGCTGTTGTTGTAAAACTAAGAACTTAAACATCATCAATAAAACATTTTGTTTCTTTGCTTTTATAGACAACAAAGCCCCAGTGATGTTAATTGTGTGAGAACCGAAGCCTGGTTTTGTTAGCCATGGTAAAGGAGATCCCCAATTTCTGTGCAACTGTTTGCCCACGTTTAGGGGGTGACATACATCTAGTACTCAGGTCGCGGGAAGTTCACGGTGGCAGGGAGTGGTCTACCCATAACGAAAATGGTTAAGGGCTGAAATTGAAACTGCAATTGAAAATTCTGTTTCTTTTTGAAGAAATATTGTGTGTCCTGAAAATTAAGTTTTTGTTTTTAAAGATGAAAAGCTTGTAGGATCCTACCCGACGTGATGTTGCTGAAATGTGACTTTCTTTAAATCTTGCAAATTTAAGTGTAATTTTTGCTTAAAGTATGACTCGTGTTTAAATGTTACCCTAATTAGTGAATAAGTGATTAGGATCATCCTTATTTAGTGGCTAGAGTAATTAGTTATATAGTTTGTTGCTAACAGAAAATATGGCTTTTGATAATAAGCAAGTTACAGTTTATAGTCGTTTGAGGAAATGTATGGAAAAGTAACCTCTTTTTTAAAAAGTTAATTTCCTCAGAGGAACAAAAGTAAAAAAGGGCTTTTCTAAGTGAAGAGGAAGTGGGGAGCGGAGAAGGAGGAAAGGATTCCAGAAGAGCTGCAGGTTGGCCTGGTTCACCACGGTGATCAGCTGAGGCTGAAGGGCTCCCTCCAGGAAGACCAGCCCTGGGGTGGGGGAGGGGGCCGGGGGGTGGAGCTGGGCATGGGAGACTCACTGCAAACTTGGCCAGCACATAGGCTCCGGCTCCCACACCAATGCCAATCACGTACTTGAACCTGGTGGAGAGCATAGCTGGTCACTCCAGAGCTAGCGGTGCCGTTTCCCAGGCATGCCATAGAGCCGACCTC